CGAAGTCGCGGGCAGAAGCTAGTATATATATAAAAGAACGTCGTGTTAGTTACACCACTTATAACTCAAGAACGGCAGAATAGATTTGGCTGAAAATTGGTAGGGAGGTAGGTTAGAGCCAGGAGACGGACATAAGATACTTTTTAACCAAATTTTTTTAAACCAAAGTTTTAAATAGGTAGGTATGTTACTGGATCGCAGGTGAGTTTGTTCATTCGAGTACACAGTGACTCCCTCATTGTTTTCTGGGATTGAGTGTGTGGTTTTAGTCGGTAAAACCCGTTGAAATTCATCCCCTAAATTTGTTCATACAAAAGTAGTCTCTAAGCATTGGAAATAAGGTCTTTAATGCAGGTAGTGGAGAGCGGTCACCGGTGACCGCTATTTATGGGAAGAGTCCGACATAACCTGCTGTCTCACGCTCATTGTCTAGACAAAGGGACTATCCATGACGATTTTCTCACGTTACAAAAAAAATTATGTTGCTGGATACAAAACAAGTAAGCCCTCACATTAAATACCAATATGAAGTACTGTTCATTTAGCCAAAGTACTTATGATTCTCAGTCCTATAGTAAAACTTTTCTTTTAATAAAAAAATTTGACAACCCTAAGACAAAAAAGGTGTTATTTTGAAATATAGATTGTTGAGAAAGGTTGAGAAAGGAAAAGAAAAGTCTAGAATTATAAGGAAGTCGATTATAAATTGAGAAAATTCATATTTGATAGTACTTGCAACTATTGGATAGTTGCACATGGAACTATTAAGGTACTTCCGCGCGGATTCAGTCGCTCTGCTCGGCTCTTCTTGGCCATGACATGATGTTTTATAGCCTATAGCCTTCCTCGATAAATGGACTAATCAACAGAATAACAATGATTCAATACGGACCAGTAGTTTCTGAGATTAACACGTGCAAACAAACTCCTAATCCCCAAAAAGCCGGTAACGGACTTGTAACGCCTCTGGTGTTCCAGGTGTCCATGGGCGAATTGTCCATCGCCGATTGCTTACCATCAGGTGATCCCTCTGCTCGTTTACCGGATTATGCCATAAAAAAATAAAAAAATAAATGCATTGACTTTGACTTTGACTGTGAAAGAAACTTGTAAGTAGTTTTAGGTCAGACAATTTCATCTTTATCTAGTCTAGGTAGATGAGGTTGACATACAAATCCTGAAATCCAGTGTTTGTGTTTGGTCTAAGCGTCTTTATTTCGTTCCGTCTCGTAGTCACGCCTCTTGCCTCGCCTCGTCTCGCTCGATCAGACAGACAGACGGCTGAGAAACATTACGATCTAAGATTTACGGACCACAACAAGTACCGTTCGCATACAAATATTTGTTTTGTAGTTAAATATTTAGTTGTTTAAGACCAGTCTACTTTAAGTTCTGTCCGGTTTAAAGTAATTTAACCTTATACTTATCATATAACGCTAAAGGGTTATTCAAGGTTATAGCACGGAGTCTGGAATTGTGCCCGGTATATGGCAATAGGCTCACCCCCTATTACATGGGACTCATAACATACCTAAATAGTAAAAAGTGAGTGTTATACATTGTAACACTGTGCACACACTGTACACGGGTAATGTAATGTGTCTGTCTACTAGCTAGAGGATAAAAGGTGTGATGTTATGCGTTATGTTAACGAGATTTGTTCGTTTGTTTGTTTGAACGCGCTAGCCTCCGGAATTACCGGTCCGATTTTAATACACAATTAGTTTTGTGTTGGATAGTGCATTTATCGAGGAAAGCTATAGGCCATAAAAGTTCATGTTTCGATCAATAGGAGCTGAGCAGAGCTGGTAAATCACGCAGTAGTAAGAAAAATGAATGGTTTAGCTTTTTCAAGGCATGATTAAAGTTTGAGCAAAGTAACACCGGATTAGGAACAAGATTTTAAATTCAATGGCAATTAGCTCGCCTCTAATTTATAAATACAGTAATGTTACGAAAACTAGTGTCAATTCCACAAACTAAATTTGAATAAAAAGCGGGACATCACAGAAATATTAAAAAAATATATCTATGCGGGAAATAGTCCAAAGAACTATATATAGTATTTACATGAAATATAGGTATAAAAAAAATTTACGCAAATTAAAATGATAATTAAATAAACAAGGATGTATCAAAATTAATCATCATTAAATAATTATTGATTTATTAACGTTTTTTAGCTATCTCTACAAACTAATTTAATCTGCGAGCGCGAGCTTCGCCAGTTTATTTCATTGCACCGCCAGAGGGTTACGTCCGATACCAAATACAATCATTTATAAATGTTTGCTTTACCTCTTTTTGTAAAACTATACGATAAATAGGTATCTAAATAGTTTGCTAGGCTTATCTATAATGTTCCTAATGTCTAACATAAAGTTAGATGATAGATAGATGAAAAGATGACGATAAAGATGTCTGCCCCATCGTTCGCTTGAAAAATTAATATGTTCAAGTGCTGTCATGTAGCCTATTTGCAGAAATAAATTCACTTGTTTTACATATTGATATTTATGAGCAGCATTTCGCGACACGCGACGCGGCGACTGTCGCGCTGCTACTGAGGCTTTAGCACTCTAGCATGGCTTGAAACTAGTCGAGTTCCTCGTCAAACGTCGTTTACGTGATTAAGCCGAAAAACATAATATTAATTGAGTTTGTCTCACGAAAGTTTTAACGGCTTATATTTTAATCTACAACGTTTAGGCAGATGTAGGTTATACCAGTAACAGTTAGGTGTAGGTATTTGTATCTAAGTACCCCGTAATGATGACGAGTCCATTGCCAATCACAGTACAAAATTTCAGCTATTCTGCACCGAGAATTTTCGAAAACAGTAAAGCTCAACAATATTCAGGTCCTCGCTATACCCGAGAGCTCAGGTTCAATGAAACGTTTGCAAATGTTAAAAAATAAAACAATCAAAATTTAAAATTAAAACAATTTTTTATTACAAGTTCATTTTTTTGGTAAATGCAATGAAATTTTTACCGAGAAATAGAAATAAAACAACCAAAATAATATTATAAACTATTACACATTTTTATGGCAACTAAACAATTTTTTTGTTAATTATTTAACTATAAGTAGAAGCTATATGCTTAATAGTTAAAATGTAAAATAAATAATTAATAATAATTATAAAAAAATGTAACAATGCTTACGATTTATTAGTGGACTTGGCATTTTTTCACAGAAATAAAACAAAATACATAATTGAGTAGTTTCCAAGGTATCAAAATTAAAAATCTAATTAGTCCGTCAGTTGGGTAATGAAAAAATATTTTTCACGTATTTTTTTATCTTCTCGTATTAAGTTGCAATAGTTAGATAAAATGGCGCTAAGTTTAGGAGTGGGAGGTTATTACGTCGTAACGTGGTATAAAATGTGGCACGCTGTGACGTCATACGATGTTTCAAATTAATATATCGTCAAAAGTATTTAATTTTGTGAGAAAAGAAAAAATACATATCTATAGTTTTAAATTAATGTACGAGACGGACATTAAAATAAAATTTAGGAAACTACCCTATTGTATCGAAGTCGAGTGGTTTAGGATTAGTATTTTTTAAATTGTCGATTTATAAGCGACTTTGCACGGGAGTACTTTAGATTTATATTCGATACCCATATATTTACCGCAAGAAGTTCAGTGTTTTTGTAAAAGTTATTATATTTATATTTAGCTAAGTTCCAAATTGCACTGTGGGTACCTACCTACTATATAATTGTGCCTAACTTTACAGACGTGATATATATAAAGTCACAACTTCTATCTACATTTACTTTTTCTTACAGATATTAAGTACATTTCGAACTAATCAAAAATTTATACATTTCTTGCCAAAATTACTAGGTCACACACTCTAATATACCAAAAAAAAAAATATATCGTTCTGTGAAAAAATGACTTTTTCGTAAAAATAAAATAATGATGATATTATTATCTAGAAAATATTTACATTAATATTTAATTAGTAACTGGCAGTTTCAGAAGGCACTTAATACATTTTATTTAGGAATTTATATATATTTTTAAACATTATTTTTTACATAAACTAATGCGTGTTTTTGATAAGGCACACAGTGTGAGATATATGTTCGAAAAATATGCACCTATTAAATCTTAAATAATTGTAGAAGCGTCATTATTTTACCGTTTTCATCTATTTGATACTTATATTACAACATTTTTATTGCCATAATTGAGATTACCTCTTACCCAGTGTAGCACAATGAGAAATCTCTGGTAAAAAGAGGCATATTACAAATATTAATAGAGATAATGCCTCCCAAAATCGTTGATAAACCTTTATTTATTACAAAGCAACCTTATTAGTATATAATAGACCATTAGCTATGGACGACGTTATATCGAAGGTGTATCGAACAGGGTAATTATCAAATGTATTTATAAATTAAGAAATCACACATGACTACGTTTTTACTACGACATACTAAATATTTTAATTTAAATGACATATATTCGATACACCTCTAATATATTAAGTATGTTATCTACCACTTTTAGTAAACCTAGTTATTAACTTAGATCACATTTTCCAACAACTCACATACATACACACATTTTTACATTTATAATTATCACACAATAAGATTTAATCTTTCATTCATTTTGTTTAAAAACATAATTCGTTTTAAATAAATTAAATAATATTTAAAACTTTTCATTTTAAATGACCTTTAATTTATTTAAAATAACCTAACCTTTGTTTACATTTTTTTTTCTTTTTATTTTCTAGTATGGCGTCCGAAATTTTTTTTTAATTCGTGACTAGGTTTTATTATAGGTATTAGAATAGAGGAAAATATTGTTTTGTTGAACCTTTCATTTTCTTTGTACTAAAGACATGAAAAGCTTGGGAAAATTCGTTTTGTCATGAGGTAAAACTATTGTATCATAAAAATAATATGTCTAAACTATTTTACAATCACATCGGACCTACTACTGTTTCGAACGAAATGTAATTTTCATATTCACGTCAAAAATAAATACAAGAAATACAGCTTCGTGCTAATATTTTTAAGGACATTTTGTTCGCACCTATTTCTACCAATGTTAATTTTTTGAATGAGGGTTATCGCATTTGAATTTGGACACTAGGGGCGCATGAAAATTCTTCTTCAAAACTATACTACAAATGCCAAAAACGATGACTCTCATCAAAATGAAACTAACACTTTTTAAATTTATGAACGTTGACTTTGTGTTGTCAGTACCTATCGAAGCTAGTGGAGTCGCGACTCGTGACGTCACTGGCAGCGTCAGTCGACGAGCTGTCGTCGGGCGAGTCGGACGTGGCGCCCGCTTCAGACGTCCCAGCTGTATCGCTGGTGACGCCCAGATCAGTGGTCGGATATCAGAGATGTTCGTCACGCCCGTTCAGAGGCTGCCGCTCAGCGTGGTCCGAGGGACGGTTCCTTTTGAAGAATCCGCACTGGAAATAAAAAAAATGTTTAAATTGTAAAGACTACCAAATGTTAAGTATTGGTCTATGACCCAGATTCGATTTTTGGCAAAGAGACAGTTTATTTGGATTTTCGACATTTACGACGAAACGTAAGAGAGAGAGATAAAGAGAGGAGTGAGGTTGGGGGGGAGTAAGAGAGGAGAGAGGACCTATACTCTCCTCAAAGATGAGAAGAGAAGAGAGAGGTAGAGGATAGGTGTGAGAGAAGAGAGGAGAGTAAAGGGTAAAAGAACGGAGAGGTTAGAGAAGAGTGAGGTAAAGAATAGGGAAGAGAACAAAAGATTTATTTCTCTCTGATGTCTTTTGTTTTTCTTACTCTGTACTTACACCCCTTATGATCTCTTTTATTCTCTTGAATATTTGGTCACGTTTACTCACTTTGTAGAGAGCGAAGATGAGCAGTAGAAGTAGGAGTGCACCGATGATGGCGGCGAGTATAACGACCCAAAGTGGGATGGTGCCGCTGTCCAGAGCCTCGAGTCGGGGTGTGATGAGGGTTTGGGCTTCTGCCGTGTGCCAGGTTCGGTCTGTCGGCCGCCCCACCATGGGCAGCCGAGAAACGCGCGCTGCAGCTAATGTCGACAGGATCACTGCGCGGTCCTTGGAAATCTAGAAAGATGACAGTAGAATAAATAATAGGTTCGTAATCGTTAATCCCCAAGATAGTACTCAAGACGTCTAGGATAAAGACGCGGCAGGCGAAGGTGTGCCTTATTTTTGATTTTCATACTGAAATGCCGTCTTAAAATCAACTAGACTTTTCCTTCAAAACTAATAGACTTTTCTCCAATACGCGATGTGAGCAGGCCGTGTATTTCAATTTAGTATAATTTACGTTAGTTATTATACAAAAATTTGCTATTGATAAAGAAAATCACTGAAATAAAGTATAAGACGGTTGGCGAAATTCTTAAGTTCGAGCTTGTTCATATATATATAATGGATCTTTACCTCACTAAGCACGGACGCGTTGATCCTCGACCTGAACGCAAACCAAGCCTCCTGCCCCTTCATCATGCGCCCAGTAGTACATCTCAGTACCTCGCACTTGTACTTTTCCTCACATTTTTCCAGAATTTGCTTCAGCTGTGGATCCACCTGTAATGAGAATACGTGTGATGATGATGATGATGATTATAGACACAAGAATTTTTGTCTAGAACTGCCGGGAGTTACATTACTACGACATTCACTGGATTGAATTCAACACTCCAACGGATGCTTGAAATAAGTTAGATCTTTAAAACATTATCTTTAATTTTAATGTTTAATAACTATACTCACTTGATCCTGACGCCGTCTCCTGGTATTCTCACGACGTTCAGAAGCGCTGAAGCCATTACCAGAGTGACTGCTGTATGACGTATGTCCACCTAAAATGGAAGCAAACATTGAATTAAATAATTAATTTCATTTGGTGCAGTCGTGTGTGGTAACACAACATAATATAACGCCTTTTTATCCTCGAAGGGGTAGGCATAGATGAACATTACGGTACTTAATGCCACTGTACAATGTAACACCCACTTTTTGCTATTCATGTTATGATACGTGTGTGGTGTATTTTTTAATTTTGTAATGTAACTGACCTGAAGACGATGATGAAGAGTAAGAGTATCCACTGCCACCGCTGCGATAAGTGCCGCCTCCACTTTGGTAAGTACCACCACCACTCTGGTAGCTTCCACCGCCAGATTGGTAGGTGCCACCCCCAGATTGAAAGCCTCCACCTCCAGCCTGGAAGCTGCCACCTCCAGCCTGGTAACTTCCACCTCCAGCATGGTAGCTTCCACCTTGTGCAGCACCAGCTGAACTTCTCTGGCTTCCACCAGAACTGCCACTGACGTCAGCGATGCCATACTTAAACTCGTTATTAGGATTATACGCAGCATTAACTCCGAACCCTTCAAGTTTGTCTTCTTCTTCATCTCCTACAACAGTAACACTTGAGGATCCTCTGAAGGTAGCTGAGCCAGCATTAGCGATGTCAGGATTGACAGTTTCTGTGGTTGCCCATGATCCGTGGACAAATCCTTGGCCTTGATTTGAATCTTGTGAGAAGCCTCTTGATCCTGCGGAACCATAAGATCCTGATCCTTGACTGTAGGTGCCAGACCCTTGGTTGTAGGTGCCAGACCCTCGGTTGTATGCTGCAGATCCTTGATTGTACCCTCCAGCGCCCTGGCTATAGCCTGATCCTTGGTTATAGCCGGATCCTTGCGAGTAAGTGCCTGACCCTTGAGAACTTGTCTGCCAAGAACCTTGAGCATGCCCTTGTGAAGCTGCTTGGTTAACACCACCCTGGTTAGCGTATCTGAAATAAATAGAATTATCATAAATATTGTATTTAGTGCTAAAAGTATTATTAATTATCAATTACTTATACCTGTACAATTAATTTGTATTGAAGAACAATACTTACACATTGAAAGAGCTACCAGCTTCTCCTTCGTGTCCAAGATTTGCAAATTCAGTACTTGTCTCAATTTCCGAAATAATGTTGTGATTAGCATCATATATTATCGTCTTGTTCTTGACTTTCACGATGGAACCTTGTCCAAGACCGCCAAAAGCCCCATTTTGAGAGCTCCAGCTACCTTGACCAGCTCCGGAAGCGAGAGCAGCTGCTAGTTTCTTCCTAATCTCTTCTTTTTGTTCAGCTGTTAGGTCTTCACTGTCCTCAAAAGAGCTCCAGGTCTGGTTGTATGTGAAAGTGCCTTGCTGGCCATGATTTTGACCACCGAAATGGCCACCTTGGTTTCCAAAGGATCCTTGGTTACCGCTAAATTGTCCATTGGCACCGTGGTTTCCGCTTACAGTTTGGCTGGTAACAAATTGTCCATTTCCACTATGGCCGCCAACGAATTGCCCATTGCCACTCTGGGTACCAGAGAACTGCCCACTTCCGCTCTGACTACCACTAAATTGTCCACTGCCAGCCTGACCGCTAACAAATTGCCCTCCACTTTGGCTGCTGCTGCTACTGAAATGGGTAGAGCTGGAGCTCGAACTTCCACTGGAATGACTGGACTGTCCAGTACCATAACCAGAGCCTCCTAAGTTGACACTACCAGTATTACTTTGGTAGTTGTATTGGCCGCCATTGGATAGATCATCCCAGTACACTGAAAAATTACGTTACAATCAATTATTTATTCTATTTATGACGTAAAAGTTTTTTTTATATTTGAAGTGATTATTTTTCTACCTTGTCCGTAATATCCACCACCTCCCGAAGTTTGCGACGCGGTGTAGAATTCGCTACTCATCATAGCTGGAAAAGAAACACATTGATTTTGAGACGATTGTGGAAAGAAAGGCTGGCAGGCAATAAGAAAAGAAAATTGTCTACTAGAGGCAAAAAAAATGTTCCTATTCTTACAAAAATAAGTAACTGTGACTTATTAATTATAGATGGTTTTAGTAAAAATATGAGTGTTTTTGACACCAATTCTTGTCAATTCGAGAACCTAACGGGTTACTTACTGGGACTCCGGCTCGAAGCGCAGGAGAAGGACCGGGGTGGTATTTAGTCAGTAAGAGTCTGACACTCCCTCCCGCCTCACCGAGACGGGAGGAGCCATTCGATGATTTTCCCCCTTAAAAAAAATATCATGTACAAATATACATACCGTCCCTCTCCTTCGACAGCAAGAATTCGTAGGGTCTCATCACAAACAAGTTGGCATCGTTAATGTGTCGCGCTATGTCGCACTTGACATCTCCCAGATATTGGGGCTGCACCAACATGTACATCAGATTTTCGCCTGGAATTAAGAAAATTAGTATTTATTGCCTTCGTGCTGATATTTCTTTCTGGAGATGAATGACATAAGATTAAGATCTCTTAAATTCTTCTGAACTAGTTATCAATCAATTAGCACACCACAGATAAACAAAGAGTATAAAACAGCAAATAAGGGATCGTGAATAGCAATTTTATTGATTTATTGAATAGTCTACAAAGTGCCTAGTACTACTTTTTGGCCTATTCACAAAATTATTCTTGAAGTTGAATTATTCTCGTTGGTATTTGTAAGTCGACTTAGGAAATGGTCCACTGTTATAGAATATTACACCTTACCTTCAAGGGTCTGGTAGGGCCACATGAAGTATATCTCGGCTTCTTCAACAGTGAACGGTCCCTCGTTCTTCAAGTTGTATTTGTGGATCACTTGAGGTCCAAGTTTAGTGTCGTCCTTGATGTTTTGTGTTTCGTACTGCGAAGCGTTGTAGTGTAGCTCGGGTGCGTCTGAAGTTCTGCAATGTGGCGAAGATTTTTGTTAGTCTTGTTACAATCCTGCTATTGTCTGATATTCTCAAAAAACATTATAGAGCCTGGAATTCTCCTGCAACGACATTACTAGAGAAAATTTGGTCCAAAAAATTAAGTCAAATATTTTAAGAACTCTCTCTCTACCTACATACGTTGGGACAACGATAAATGTTTGTACGACTCACCCAATGATAGAGAGGTGTGCCCTGACGACGACGCCGATGTTCATGTGCATGGAGTTGTCGTACATGGTGTCCTGCTCCACGTTGGTGGAGTTCGCTTCCATGTCAAAGCTCAGCGTGGTCACGCGAGCGTCCACTTCTAAGATGAGGCGGAAGTTTACCTAGAACGAAATATAGTTTACATACGATGTCTTCTATTATTTAATAGAGACACATATTTCGCTCTTTCACATTCTGCTCGCTTTAACATTCTGGACCACCCAATGGTCGACTGTCAGAAAATGCCTACGGCATTAAGTCCGCCAATTTCACTGTATGTGCAATAAAGTTTTAATAAATAAATAAAATATTTCTGTATCCTTTTCAGTGTGTGATAGTTAATGATTAAGTACTTTTACTAAGTGTTAGTAAAGATACTATATTAAAATTAAACATTTTATGACCTTACTACAGTACTCAAAATACAGTCTATTGAGGTTTGAAACTGGATTCCAACGAAAATAAATCGGATATCCGATTCGGAACAAGACAAATTTTGTCATCTAATATAAAAATCGAGCAAAAACATAAAAATTTATTATACTTCGAAAATCCCCTTACCTTTTGTCCACTAGCCATGGGGTTTCCAAGGTCACATTTCAAAGTGGTGTTACCATCAGGGAACCTGTTGGTGATGGAGCAGTATATCAGAGTATCCGTATCCTTGTCCAGACGTTCCATCTTGGCGTATGTTACTCCTGAAGGAATCATCAGGTAGTAGGCAGCTTCAAAAGCATCTTCACCAGAGTTCTCTACTTTGACGTCAATGTGGAGGTTCTCACCAGACCCTAGGACGTAGTTGATTGTAGGGCTGTGGAAGATTATGATAATGTATTAACATAGAACTCACGCTATTAGTAGAGGTGCAATTTAGATCTACTTTCCATTGGTCTTCGTACCTACTTATAAAGATTATAGGAATATCGCATTCAAAGAAGATAAACATGAATACATGTAGACTCAAGACCAATTATTCAATGGCAATCTTTATACACTGGAAATGTGAGTCGTGGTGGCCTGGAGGTTTAAGACCCGCCCGCTTCTCATTCATATAAGGTTTCCAAATCTACCAACGGCAAGTACCAATGTGACTTTTTCCGAGTTAGTCTAGTTACCTCACTCACACGACGAAACACAACGCAAGCGTTGCTTCACGTCGGATTTCTGTGAGGCCGTGGTATTACTCCGGTCGAGCCGTCCCATTCGTGCCGAAGCATGGCTCGCCCACACTTGTTATATGTACTTTATAAGATTATTTAGACACCACTGACAAACGGTGAATGAAAACATCATGAGGAAACCTTGGCTTGGCTTTCTAATAATAAGTTTGTAATCGCCAACCCGCATTGAGCAGGCATGGTGATTAATGTTCAAACCTTCTCCGTGATAATACACTGGAAATCGGTCTGTAGCAAATTTTATTAACTAAACATTTGTCCAAGTACTTACGTGGTAGCAGCCATCTTCAGATCAGGAATGCAAATGTTATCAGCGCCGCAGTTCTTCTGGATGTTGAGGGAGTCTGTGTGCATGATGCTATGGGTCTGGTCGAGGACTGGAGGCACGATGTTACCAGACGGCTGGTTCACCAGGTCGTACGACATCTTCACTTCGATAGGAGTCAGTTTGTCACGGATTTCATCCTGGAATATTTCGGTTGCCATTATGTAAATGATCAATATGGTGCTTACAGAGATAAGTAAGATACACCAGTTATGCTTTCTATCGTCAGACCCAGGAAACAAAACCAGGATCTGAATGATCTACTAATAGCCTTCTCTGCATGTTCCTAAGATAGAGTGGTAGATAACGCTTATAGCATTAAGTTTGTTATGTGCATTGTGCATGCATTAAGTTTCAAATAAATAATAACGAGGATATGAAAAATAAAGGCAATACTGAAAACATAAAAAAACACCCAAATACTTATCTCCACAAAAATAGAAAGAAAGAAAAATTCTTTATATGCACACCGTCACAAAGTACAATAATACACAAAAAAAAATAAATTTAAAACAATGAAGACGGCGCAAAAAGCCGTAATAAATACAAATACAATAATATTCTGCCTCGTTGGCCGAGTGGTCGCAATTGCGACTGCCGAGCAAGGGGTCTCGGGTTCGATTCCCGGGTCGGGCAAAATATTACTGGGTTTTTTCAAAAAATCTCAGTAGTAGCACGGAGTCTGGAATTGTGCCCAGTATATAGCAATAGGCTCACCCCCTATTACATGGGACTCATAACTTAAATAGTGAAAAGTGGGTGTTACATTGTACAGTGGCATTAAGTGCCGTAATGTACACTTCTGCCTACCCCTTCGGATATAAAAGGCGTGATGTTATGTATGTACAATAATATTCATTTTGTAATCGTTGATGATAGAAAGCTACTCACATCTAAGTATACGAGGATATCCTTGCACTCATGTTCTCCCTGCGTTAGCAGTATCTGGGTCTTATACGTTGTCTCCCTGGTCTCTGCGAGGAACAGCCTCTTCGTGGTCTTCTGCCGGGAGTCTAGGTCCAAGGTCACCTCAAATTCTGAGGAATGAAGCATCAATTAGTGGCGCTGCTTGTGTTTTCTGCTGAACTGAACTGTTATTTATTGCTCTCTCTATTTTGCTGGTGGTATGAAGATGAATAAGATAAAGTTCTCCCGAATCTCCCCAATTCCTAAATCCCCAATAATCCTCAAATTCCTGATCCCCAAAAGTCCGGTAACGCACTTGTAACGCTTCTGATGTTACGGGTGTCCCTGAGCGACGCCGATTGCTGACCATCAGGGCATTCGTTTACCCGGCTTATTCCATAAAAAAGTTACAATTTGTAATTATTTTTAAAGTTGTCTAATTCTAGATGTACCTACATAAAAGGTATAGCAACCGTATAAGTCTTAGGATATGGTAGCTATATGAATCCTACAGGTCCTGAGGAAAAGAGAGAGCAATACTTTGGTTCAGTCACAGCGTAATGTAACTACTGTGTGAAACATGGACAGTGCAGTCACTCATACAACTAACACTGATTAACTAATACTAATAAATATATGTGTATGTATATATGTACATCATTCCCCAGTCTATTTATCTCAACACAATTTACACAAAGTACCAAATCCTTTTATGATATCTACTTAAAGTACCAACCAGACTTGATATTTGAAATTAATAAAGAATTTCGTGTCGCTACGACAAATTAAACCCTATGTGGTACCAATTAGCGCTACTTCGCTGACTCACCGAAATAGCAGATATATCCTTCCGCTTGGAAAACAAACAATACATTATTGTGACTCTCAATTTTGTTCAAAAAGCATAAATACTTAAGTTAAAATAATATCTCAATCTAAAACATAATAAAGGACAAAAGATTAAATACTTACTAATCTGCTGATCCACATTAACACCTCCGTATGAGAGGCAGAACATAACCTGCGCACACGCAAACGTGGTTCCGTTAGCGAGAGGACACTTCTTGTCAGTCAGCGAGATCAACTTGCTGTCAACTAAGAACTTCACTTCGGCAGTCACTTTCACTACTGGGCGAGACCTGGAAAAGATACGAGGTTTCAGGACCTGTTTACCGTAACATTAAATAACTCCCCCTCATCCTCTTTTAATCTGTCAAACACCAAGCGGTCACCGGTGACCGCGACCTATTGTTCTTTAATTGTGTCTATAAAACCGGTACTCGACGAGTTAAATTCCTAGAAAAAGTAGACAGATGTACAGACACTACTTATGATTCCCTCTTTTTGCTGGTTATATTGTGATTCATGACTCAAGTCTCCGTCTCAATTGGTAGTGAGCCATTGCCAAGCACTAGGCTCCATACTGGAAGTTTCGAGCTACTGAGTTATCCAAAACCAAAATCCCTATTTTTTGCTCTAATCAAGATTCTAACTCAAGATAACTTGGTTCACAGTCACGTTTGCAAATTGCAACCATTCATCCAATAAGGTTGTGAATAAAAACGAGGAAGGCAATAAAAAATAACTCACTTCAAAAACACAACGCTATCAGATTTGTAGGCACCAACTGCCAAATCCGTGTAGTTGTTATTATCCAGATCCACTCCTCCAGAGAGGGAGAATCCGAAGGTAGTCAAGGTGGGAGAGATCTCCTCAGCAGTGATGGCTTGGGAATATTTCTCATGGATGCCCATCGCACTGCCATGGTAGATGTAGACTACACCACGGCCGTTCTCACCGCCGTAAGGAGCACCCACTGCTATGTCTGGAAAAATAATAGGATTGATGTAAATCTCAAAGCTCTACATCAAATCGCTCATTGAATGGAACCCAAGTTTAATTATTATGCTAATAGTTATTAAAAACAAATATTTACCTCCGAAAGTGTCGTAGTTGATGTCACCGAGCGACGTGACAGCCAAACCGAATCTGCCTCGGGAAACCTCACCGGTCCTGGCATGGCTCCTTGTGAAAGACTGGAAAAATAAAATAAGAAGTAAGCAAAGGACGAATAACTTTAAGGAAATCATGGAAACAGTGATAGTAAACTAAAGTAATGAAAAACGATAGTAATAAACGAAAAATGTTACCTACCATTTAACAAGCATATAAAACCAATGAGTATACCAAACAATAAGGATACATTATATGAAGGAAATCAAAGCTAGTTTTGTACGATTAGCAGTTGTGCTTTATTCTATAAGATTGACTACATGATAGATAGTCACAAATAAGTACCTACTTAATGTGATCATGAACTTATACTTACTCGGTCTTTATCCTGGTAGATCACATAAATTCTTCCGTGTTCAAATCCATCAGTCTTAGTTCTGGTGAACATTGGAGCACCAACAATGACGTCATCAAAACCATCGCCGTCAATATCGCCAGAGGCAATACTGTAGCCGAAGTAAGCACCGATCTGCGAGCCACTAATGTTCTTGATGTTTTGAAGCTCCCAAGTGTAGAGAACAACCTGGAATGACAGAAAAAAATATGTAAGTGAATGTAAATACATATATTACCTCATTGAGGAGGTCAAAACACATGCCATTAGCTAGTTGTAATATTTATTCAGTCAACCATAAAAGTTTTACTGAATCTACAATTGAATAATCATTTTTTAAAAAGTGAATTTTACTATCTCTACTGATTCCGAATAAATCCTCGTTAATATAAGATTCACTCACCAATCCTTTGAGTCCAGCTCCTCTCGGCACACCAACAGCAACACTCTGAATACCCTGACCAGCGAAATCACCAACAGCAATTGAGTAACCCATGTAAGAGTCATCGTACTTAGGACTAGCTTCAGGAGTGGCAATCAGTGCTGGACGACTTCCCATAGACTGAGACATCAGCTGACCTAAAATAGAATAAGGAATTAGTTTCAATAACATTGTTGGTGTGTTTATAGTTCCATTTGGACGACCAAGAGTATTTTACAAATCCTTTCATTTCATTTTGGTCTGAAAAAGGGTCCAGATAATCGTCCAAACGGAACCAATGATTAATACATTGAACCAGCGCAAAACGTCAATCATTCGTGTACAATGTTCCATGATCTGTCATTAGATGATGTTCAAGCGATCCAGCAGCCAGGAAAGGCGGTTCCGTGTGATGATGGTATAACATCTCGTGTCATATAATACAGGCGTCTCTATAACGCTTTTGATTAGGTTATTAGCATACATAATATGACCAAAACAGGTGTGATCACACCATATCAAGCGTGAGATTCAGGGATATCTTGTAATGTTAAATATATCACCAAATCCTTGTTACAGCGACCGTTGTAGAATTAATTTTGATAACGGGTCTGGCGAAACACAAGTTGCACATGAGCAAATGAAACTCTAAATTTGAAATTTTTAGAGTTGCATTTGCCTTACAAGAATTGTGAGAAATAAATAACATTGTGTTTCGTCAGAGCTCAAAAGCCAATGATGTTTTATAGTTTAGTTTTAAAGCATGGACACTTTTGCGGTTATTATCATTTGAGTAATATTAAACACCTATTTAACCCGGATTTAAACTAAAACTAAGTACTTATATACTCCATGGGAATTACAAAAATCATTCCTATATACAAATTTTCTTTTAGAACAATCATTTTAATTTCACTACGGAGAGGTAGAATTTTGATAGAACTGTAATTTTATCAACAACATGCTGTAGTTGTGATGATTAGGCTTGGATGTGTCTGTCCATCATTCTTTGGACACGGTGATGTAACACGTGTGGCAATCGTGACGGATACAATGATATCATCCAAGTAGACAATTTGTTAGCACAAACAATATGAAATGGATCATCTAATGTTCTAATCTGTCGTGCACAACGTTCGTTACATATAAACTACCGCTAAAATGGTTTACAGAAATTAATGGCATTTTAAAGATTGGAAAATATGGAAGGTATCTGGTAGAACCCATAGGGTAACCTTAGAACACCATGACTTTAGGAAAGCTAATGATTTCAGCACTATTCATGACAGATATTATGGGCAAATTGATAAAGATTTTGCAAAAATATCTGGCCATAAATAGTTGTAAGCAGTTTCCATTTTAAATTCATTTTATATGTTCAAGTATCACTTTGTATGCAAGTCATACTGAAGATAATTTTGATATAAACAATGTTGAATTAAATACTCAAAACCAGCAGGAATATGAAAAATTTTCAAAAACACTAAAACATTATAAAAACCAAATCAAAATCGACACGTCGAGTTAGAAATCATAATTTAGAAAAGCAAGCAAATTTAGAAGAGTTAGCGACTCATTTTTATGAAATCGGATTAATGTTATTGCGTTAAAAGCTAAGGAGTGTACTCGAACAACAAAAATGTAATTTAAAACAACTGTCCATGTTCAAGGCGTTGACTTTGGATTAGGCGAATTGAGGCCTCTCTATGTTATTGCTGTTAAGAGTTAAGATGTCAATCTTGCGGTACGTCTGGATATGTTTACCTTCTTCCGGTATTTTCGGCATATAGAAGATGAACTTTTCTTTCGGTTCTATTGATAACGTTCGCCCTGTGGATAATTTTAGTGTCAGTTATCATTTCGAATGCCTCTCCAAATTCCAAACTGTTTGGAGATCACCTACATTATGTTATTTGATCATATTGTACGTTTATGTATTTTAAATAAACCTTTTCTTTGTAATCTTTTTTTTTTGTTTATTTTCATTGTTTACTGTTTCGAATTTATTAAACACTATCTTTGTGTCTTTATTATTTGCAATTAAAAATTTTTGGTCATCGTTTTTTAACAATTTTATATTTATATGGAATGTTAATATCATTCAGATGTCGAATGTTTGTTGCATCTACGTTATATGATTTGGCAACTACTATCTATTTTGCTATAGTAGTAAGTCCAGTGTGATAGATTAATTTCAAAACATTCTCATGATCTTCATCCTTGGCGTTTGGTACTACTGAGCACCCATGCGTAGCTAGGCAGCCACTGCATCTAAATTCGATCTAAAAAATTGTATGCAATCTAAATTATTAGTTAGTAAATGACATTATTATGTAACGTTACCTTGCCAGAAGAAACTGCCTGGTGCACCCATGAATAGCCGTTGTCCGTCCTGGAATTGAGAAAAATAAATGTTATGGTAAAAGGCATAAGATTGGAAGTTGCATAAACAGTTGATCATGTAGGTACCGATTTTGTTTTCAATTATGATTAGATATTTTAGACCTAACTTTTATAATCAGAAGTGAGAAAATTCTACCCTTCTCATCACACACGTCCTTAAATATATAAAACATACATTTTAACGTCCTTTAAAAACAATAAAAGTAATCTAAAACCACATAACACACTGTAGTTTTGAAAGGAGCATCAAAGTGTTTTACGATTACGCTTTTTATGTTCCCACTTATGATAATGTATTCCAACCCTACCCTGGACTGGCCTGGAGTGGCCTGGCCTAATTGCAACCAGGGTAGATAACATGCATCGGCTTATAAGTGTGTGATGTCATTTGGTCGTGGTTAGCTTACATAGTGACGGATGGGTTTTGGTTTAATTTGTAAGATGACTTTTCTTGTATTTTAATATGAAACCGGACTGACACGTAATAATAGCAATATGATTTTTTTTTATATTGAGAATAGTTCTGATAAAAAATGTTCAGCTTAAATTGAATTAAGAGGAAACTTTGTATGATTTCGAAATGAACTTTGAAACCAAAAAATCATAACCAGTATGTGCAGAATGTGCTTAAACTCTGTTACTATTGAGGTATATTAATTTTGAACAGTTTTGAACCCCGCTACCACTAATAACTCGTTCCAAAACAGAGTATAGACAAAAAGCAGACGCCACAAATCGGTGCGTGTGAACGTGTGAGATAAGCCGTCTGACTCAACTTACATACAACTTACACGTTAAAACTTGACGAGAACTTTACAAAAAACGTGTAAACATGTACATTTCAAGTTACCATCTGATAACTTGAGCTATGTCTTTGCAAATTATCGCTTAGGCAACTTTTTTTTTTGTATGCAACATTTGACGTTTTGTTTCCACAGCAAAAAGTAAACCAGGTGGTTAGCTTTTTGTATTAGGGGTGTATAATAGGGTGTTGTTGCCCAAAAAATCACTCAGTTTCTCTATTCCCATAAAACCTATGTTTACTCCTAGGACTAGACTCACTAGTATTAGGTAGGTATTTATCTACTAGTAGATGTTTAAGAAACTTCTGAAAAGCTGCTTCTGCACTTGTGAAGATAGCAAAGAAATCTCAACAACAAATCAAAGAATAACAGGGATAGTTATACCCCATATAAAATATTTTAATAGCTATAAGGAATTCCTTGTCAAACCAAACGCAGCTAAATTTACATAGTACTTTAGAACACTGAGACAACCGCCCCGAACATTACAGAAGCGAATATAAATTTATGTAAACAACACATAAATAAAACATAAGTTCACGTAAAAGTACACAAATCTGTCATTGGAATAAAAATAAAATAGTAATTCATAAACCAAAAATGGCGCTAGCAACCCTAAAAACAACATAAAAGCCTAGCCGTTTTAGCATTGAATCAGCGTACGCAGGCCAATGAATAAATATGCGCGTGCGCGCCATATACAGCGCATGCGCGAGTATCGCTGCAGTAGAGGGCAGAATGTCAAAACGATGCGGCACTCACTTGTTTTGTAGACTTTACTTAAGTGCTTATAAAGTAAAAACAGAGACGGATTACACCCTACGAAGAGCGCCCTAGGAAGTACCACATAGGCGCCTATAATTATTTTTGGCAACGCTGATACCCTACAGGCACACGCGTCTCGCACCGTCGCGGTGCCTTTTGCGCCCTAGGCCCATAATAAGGTAATTGAGTTTTTATTTTAATGTCCGTCTGGTAGATTATTTAAAAACAGTATACATGTATTTTTTATTTTCTTACTGAAACTAATAGTTTCGAATATATATTGATTTGAAATATCGCATGACGTCAATTTTAAGTACGATTTATAGTCTAAAATGACCTAGCTACCCCCCACTCCTAAACTTTGATTCGTTTTATCTAAGTATTGTTTATCTAAATAATATTTTTTCATGATATAATTATATATCTAAATAAAGAAATACGTGTCTAATATTCTTTCGTTACCTAATTGATGGACTAATTAGATTTTTTATTTTCACACCCTGTCATCATCCCTATTGTAGTTACTTACTTGCCTAGTAAGTCAAAAGAGAAGTAACTACAATTAAGACAACTAATTCTGCTGATCATATGAGATATTCAAACTCGGTGCAATGAGAAAGATAGAAGTACATAATACAGTATGTTTTTAAACTGAGTCACTACTATAACCATATACTACTATTTTTTTTTTTAAGGGGAGAAAATCATCGAATGACTGCTCCCGCCTGGGTGAGGCGGGAGGGAGTGTCAGACTCTTACTGACTAAAAACCACCCCGTTCCTTCTTCTGCACGTCGAGCCGGAGCCCCGGTTACCCGTTAGGTTCTCCGCGACACCATATACTACTATAGGTACTACGAATTAGAACAGAATGCTAGAAGAACTACTATCTTGCCCTTATGACGACAAAGTTAAAGCAGGCATAAATATCAAGTGGCAGTAAAAGGTACCTACTTAACACATATTATAATAACAAGGGCAAGCAATGTCTCTAGCTAGCAATAACTTCATACATTTTAACCAAGCTTTGAAATAGTACTTTTATTATTAGTACTAAACTTTCCCCTTAGTTACTAGAACCTTAAAAGTATAAAGAAAACAATAAAAGAAGGCAGTAAGCAATTGAATATTCAATTAAACTGTGCATAAATATTAGAGGCGTTTAAACTCCAATGAATTTTGCATTTACAACATGCAATCGTGCGCATGAAAGTTAAGTTAAACAATTGTCATCTCTATTTTTGTTGCGTACAGTTGGTTTCAGCTTGTCATTTTGTTATACAGCTTCTACTGGCCAGAATATATTGTAATAAATGCATTATATAATAAAAATAGGTTATGAATGATTTAGGTTGTATAATTTAGAAATATTGATTTGAAATCGGATTTGCCAGTTAAAAAATTTGTATTTGACAATTCGTTTTTTATTCTATTTGATTATTTTCATTTTTAATGTTGATTCTACATTATATAAGAAAACAAAGTATATCACCTCGTCATGTGCGATGTTCTGCATCATTACACTAATGTAAGTTTGTTTGTTGTCACGGTTTATCCAAAACCCCATTTCAAAAGTAAGCAAAAATATTCTAATTTATGTCAAACACTTGACTCGTATGAAGTTTAAGAGTATTTCCGACTCTTGGGTAAGTATACCTAATATTGTAAATAAAATAAATAAAAAATTAATATATTCTTAGTTTTTAAATTATGTTGTCTTTTCCAGGTGTATTTCTAATATCTAGTAAGAGAAATAACAGATTTTCTTATGAAGAATCTTTAATTCCACAAAAGTGCAGGACGCATCGATTTCCCGCCATTTTCACGCCGCCATTGTCTGCAAATGGCCACCGCTTACGGATGCGTTCCAAAACCATGTTTGTAAACTACAGGAATGTTTGACGTAGTAATGTTGAGAAATTGTGATAGCACTACAACTTGGAAAATGACTTTGACTTTGATTCTTAGCAAATAGTAGACGATTGTTAGGTGCAAATGTACTCTGATCTTTCAAAATGTTTATTAAATATCGAAAAAGTACTTGGGATACGTTAACTAAATTTTTTTTCTAAAAAACATACCTTGATATCATTTTTTTTAATTCACATAACATAACATCACGCCTTTTATCCCCGAAGGGATAGGCAGAGGTGCACATAGAAGTAACACCCACTTTTCACTATTTATGTTATGAGTCCCATGTAATATTATATTTTTTTTAATTCAAAGCAGCGCAATACCTCGAAACTATATTAAATGTCGTACATTAACCAACAACGATTTGTAAAACAATCTTCGAAAGCTAAATAGCTCTAAGCATACATCAAGTGCATCAGGGTTCGCAAACATATGGAGCCCATTAGGATTCAACATGGTGTACCAATGAATAGTAATGAATTGTGTTGGTTCGCACCTCGGCGACGACAAATTTATTGAGCTATAGATGGACACTTCAATAAAATTGATGCTGTAAGGCTGTGGATAGGGTTGCTTGACTATTTTAGAATTTTTATCGACTTTTTAGTTTATTTTATGTGAATATATTAAGTGTGGGAGAGCCATGCTTCGGCACGAATGGGCCGGCTCGACCGGAGTGATACCACGGTCTCACAGAATACCGACGTGAAATAACGCTTGCGTTGTGTTTCTTCGCGTGAGTGAGGTTACCGGAGGCCCAATTACCCATAATTCCCAGTCTCCCCAATCCCCGGATCCCCCACAATCCTCAAATACCCAAAAGACTATTAACGCACTTGTATCGCCTCTGGTGCTTCAGGTGTCCATGGGCGGCGCCGATTGCTAACCATCAGGTTATCCGTCGGCGATCCGAGTTACAAGGGGACTGACTCTTTCTTATGAGCAGCGTGTGCGGTCGCGGCGATGTCGGGCCTACTGACCCTCAGTGACTCGAAACTAGTAGAGCTTTATACAGTAAATTTACATGAGTAACTCGTAGTTTTAGTTAATCCAGCATGTCTCACGATAGTTATTGTGACCCTAATCCTCAGAAATTCTTCTAATGTTAAGTATAATGGGCTTATCCAACTAAATCCAACCATTGTTATGTTACTGTTTAGCAAAATCATCACGTTTTTAGTTCACGCGAAGATTGCCAACATCGTCATGGTGTATCGGATTGCCTTCCAGGAATAAGATGCAATCTGACTGACTTAGGATGCTGATGAATGATGATAAGAGATCAGTAGTAAGGCTATCTGGAACATCGTGACTGAAATGGTCTAGACTTTAGACTTAACTTGGGCTTTTCAAATGGGCCTTTTCGTAGGAGTGTACATTTGATTGTATTAAACTAAGGTTTTTACACATATCAAAGAAAATATCATAATATTTTAGTTTAAGCAAATATACTCGTAACTTATACAATCAGTAGATTACCACCCTAACATCTTAAAGTTTTTTATGACCCAAAAAAGACACTCAACGGCACGTGACCCCCATACACAGACCTTTTTATTCACCTGGCAACACGGAAAAAAGGTTCCACTATTGGTTCACTGACATTAATCACTTTTTTTTTAATCGTAAAGCAAAGGCAAGGTAGCTTTGCGGTGTCATCTTTATTGTTATTTCTTTAGATAATGGAAATTAATTGTGCTACGTTCCTGACCAGAATTTTAATCGATTTTAACTCTAGTTTCAGCGATTACTGTCAAATATTACTGCTCATTGATATAATATTGTACGCGTTAGTTTTGTAGAAAAGAATTTATAGAATTGGGAGAATTTTATCTTTGTTGATTCATAGAACAATGAAAACATGTTATAACGCTGGCTATTTGGGATAGGTACTAGGTATGCGACCATTGAGTCATTGAATTGTTGGGGTCTCTGAAAAGTGTGGTAAGCTTTAACGTCAGTGGGGTTTATCAGGTAAGTACAGTCAATGTTTGGAAGCTATGTTTGGCAGATAGTGGAGAATTGTTATGGGCAACAGTGTGTAAGCAGCATATACGATACTCCTTCAGTTTTATAAGCAGACACTACACCAGGACAACAAATAAAGCCCTGCCTGGTAGCTGCTACCATACTAGGGCCAAGGGATTGTCCTGTCAGAATTTAGCGGTAAATCTCAATTGTATCCCAAATACAGAGACATAATAAAACTGCAATAAAATTCGCTCACTATTCTCGAAATAGAAATCTTAACATTTTCTTGTTTTATTTTTTGTGGTGGCAACAATAAAAGTTAAATAATTCATAAGGAGTCTGCGCGGTTGCGGGCGCGCATGCGCGTCACGTGTGCGCGCCGGCCGCCGCGATCACGATGATAATTCCACTACGGGCAAAAATAATTCTATTCCCACGATCGTAAAATCACGATGTTTTACATGAAAGTAGTAAGAATTGGTCGTTTTTTGGTGAAAAAATATACGTGGGTTGATTTAAAATGAAGAGTAACACGAGCACCGACTCAATGGATATATATAAATTAGTAATCCGACCGAGTTTTGCGAGGATTCTATGTTCTTCCATTTTTTTTTCATATATCATCAAAGTTCACTCTTCTTCTAATAAGAAGTTTAATTTTTTTACAGATTGTGTAATTAACACACAATAACTCATTGCTATTAAAGCATGTCTACTGGCGTGAACCTGGCACATTTTCAGACACTACGGTGAAGTAATAATTACAAAATAATACGATAGACAGCAACCGCTCAAAATAAGCTATTTTAGATTTTCGATTTGGACAGACTTATCAGAATCTTCGAAATTTTGATCCCACTCAATCATGCATACGACAAGTCGTACCTTTCGTCTCAGCGGTAAATAAGTGTCCACAGACGACACCGTAACTAATTTGTCACGAAATGACATACAACCTCCATAATGGGATTTTAATATGGCCACTTACAAAAATTAAATTAATAACCTTACTCCGATGCTGCCAGAAATCGCAAGTACAAGTACAGACAAAAATTCAAGCGAATATCACCCGAAATAATTGAAAATGGAACATAATTGGTGTGACAAAAAAAGATAATAAACTGTCATCATATTTTTGTATGTTGCAACACAGAGACAATTGGTAAATGGCAACGTTTATTGAGTAAAAACTTTAATTTGGTTATTTATTTTATCCTATAATTTGATTTCACTTTATGAAATGGCGAAATACTAAATTAAATATTAAGTTTTGTTGGTCTAGAATTAAATACTTAATGATTTTTTTAATGGGATAAGCCGGTAAACGAGTATGCAGATCCCCTGATGGTAAGCAATCGGCGCCACCCATAAACACCTGAAACATCAAAGGCCTTACAACCGGCCTATTGGAAATCAGGAATTTGAAGATTGTTGGAGATTTGGGGGTCGGAGAGGGCATCCCTCTAGTAAGTTTATTCACTGACACCAATAAATAATATGGCATAATACCTACTGACTATTACGCTTTCGAGGATTAAGCTCATTGTGCATAGTTCTTTATAAAAAAACGTTATTATATCAAGAGGTATTAAAATCGTTTAAACCTTACTGATACCTGCTATAATTTTACAACATTTTATTTAAAGCCTTACCTTTGATATGGCTCCCGAGAAACCGGCTTGGCACATGCCAGTCTTGCGCTGTCCGTGACTTGCTGTAAATCAAAAAAACATATCCATTACCAATCAATATGGCCCCGCAATGAATAATACACATATATTATGAGGCATTAATATACAATTTAGGTGTATACATACAAAGTGCAGGACAACACTCGCAGTTCTACATTTTTTTTATTATACAACTCGCGGAAATTATGTTTATTTTGTAGTTTTTTAATAGATTTCAAGCGAGACTGACAGTCTACATTTTATTATATACTTTAATTTTAATTTGTGGCTACATATGTCATGTTATTCCCCGTACAAGGCGGTGCATATAATCAAATTTTATTTAACACCAATTTTAGCTATTTTTGTATATATATGTAACGAGATTTGAAAAAAGGGTGTGACCTTATTACCGAACCGCGCCAACCATTTACAAAACAGGCGTAGTCTCCTAAAAATGTTAAAACTAGAATATCCCAAACAAACTTAATAGTCAAGTATGCTATTCGACAAACAAAGTAGCTCCACCTGCCTCATTTTAAATCTTGAAATGTAAACTGTAAGTCCTTTTTACACAAAATATTTTTTTCGAAAATCAGTAATTTATTTCACGGTCTACAAGGGATGGATGAGATGAATAAATTAATATTATAACAGTGTCCATGATGTGGTTTTAACACAATCATTATGAAGTGTATGAGTATCTACTGGACGACAAGTGCAACACAGCGTATCTTACTCAGAGAGACTCACCCTCGTCCAACGAGACGTGCCCTAAAGAAAGCATACATAGTTATTTCATAGAAATATTATTATATTAATATCTTTACAATAAATTATAATACATATAAAATATATATATTACGAACAATCCAGCCGCCTTTTTTTATAAATAACATTTAAATACTACTCGCATGATTAAATATAAAATTAAATGTATGTACCTATAGAATTGGCACCGACATTCGACAAATTATGTCAAACTTGCTTCAAGTTCATACATTGACTTTTCTCTTCGCTCGTTCGACTAGCGCTTAAATGGCAATATTGCAAGGGTCTGGTCGACACAAATATTTTCTATTTTTAAAGTGATATATTCTATCCGCAGTTAAGTATAACAAATACATAAGAATATTAACATGTAAGTAAACATACAAAGCAGTATAGAATATAAAATTAAAGAGTATGTTTTAAAAAATTAGTACAAACTTCTCATATAATAATTTGAAATGTGTGGTCCACGCTCAGTGGGTGATCGCAAATAAATAAAAATATAGTTATATTAAAGTTTAACGTTTCGTAAAAACTATCAAATCACACAATGATATTTTTGTAATGTAACGTGATCCTTAAATTTATCGTTTTACATAAAAATGTGGTCGTAAATCATGTATACGCCTCAAGCTCGTCACGCTAATTCCCTTGCTTGCCGCCATTACCGGCGGAAGTGAGTTGGTTTTCGCGCGCATACAAGACCGCCATTGTGACGTTACGTCATGACTGCTCCATTGGCGCCCTTTTACGCGATCCAGTGTTGCCATTTTATGAGCGTTATTTTATTTAAAAAATTATGTTCGATTTTATAATGGAAATTGTTAACTCTAATTCAGTGCTAAATATACAATTGTTGTTCTTTTAAGCATCTAAAAAATAGAGAGAGAGAGTAAAGAAGGAAAACATAAATTTCAAATAAAGTAAGTTAATTTGGTTAAAATTCAAACCAAGCTTTTTCAAACTGTCATCGGTCTGTGAATTTAATACATTTTCGACTTTATAGCAAAAGATTGAAATTGAAAACTTGTTTGTGTCATAAAAAAAAAATATTTTATTTATTTGTGAGTACTTACAAGTACGGCATGGTGAGAACTCCTTAACGTCAGTCATGTCCGGACTGTTGGCGACGAAGCACGTGCCCACTGGGTCTCTCTGGTTGAGCTTCGCAGACACATAGGACACGTAGCGAGGAGCACAGGCCTGGGAACAAGAAAGATGTTAATGATTAAATAAACTTTATTTGTACTTTACAATAAGAATAAGTTTGCTTTGGGTTGTAATGGAGTAGGAATAATCAGCAGATAGTAACATTGATACTTTTGAAACTTCAACAATATAAAATTAAATAATTGTCTGTCAGTCGGTCCGTCGGTGAAGCTAGGTCCTCGTTCCAAAATGTAGATTAAACGAACGAGAAAAAAAACTATTGGTTACTCTTTAAAAAATGTCTTATTACAAATTGAGGATATATTAACCCTTTGAGTACCGTCATTATAGACACAATTAAATAGGTTGCGGTCACCGGTGTCCTCGCGGTGTTTAACAGTTTAAAATGAACATTTCAAGGTCAAAATTAGCCAAATCGCTTCAGCCGTTCTGAGTTTTAGTGAGACACATAAATGGCAATTCATTTTTATTTATATAGGTACGTTAGATGATCATTTTTCGACATTATCTCGAATAAATCAAACACCATCAACTTTAAAGCAAAACATAATTTAAGAGATTTTTTGTTTTGTTTCAAGGAATAAAACCATCGTTTAGTTGAAATATGAAAACAAATATTCTGAAAATAATCCTCGGTTACTGAATGTTATGAACTTGAAAACAGTTTAGTAGTTAATTTTAACTGTAATAACATGCGCCCGTGGTGTAATCCTTTAGAACAGTACAGGGCTGTCAAAAATTCTATGACACATTTATTAAATTTCTTTGTATGTATTTAAATGTTGCCTAATTAAATTTGTATGTATTTTAATGACTGCCTCGCTGGCCGAGTGGTCGCAAGTGCGACTGCCGGCCAAGGGGTCTCGGGTTTTTAAAAAATTCTCAGTAGTAGCACGGAGTCTGGAAATGTGCCCGGTATATGGCAATAGGCTCACCCCCTATTACATGATACTCATAACATAAATAGTGAAAAGTGGGTGTTACATTGTACAGTGGTATAATGTGCACCTATGCCTACCCCTTCGGGGATAAAAGGCGTGATGTTATGTGTTTTTTAATGTTCTGCGCTTTGTAGCTGCTAAGCATTTAAGTTTGGGCTCGCTGCCATTGCAGCGGTAAGTCCCCTCTTTGAGGAGTGGCTTGAGAGACGCTACGGCGTCCTCACCTACCGCCTGACGCAGGTCCTCACCGGACATGGAAGTTTCGGGAGGTACCTGTGTCTGATGGGGCGGGAGGAAACGCCCGGGTGTCATCACTGCGAGGACCACCCTGAGGACACGGTGGAACACACTGTTGCGGAATGCCCTGCGTGGGCTGAGCACCGCCGTGCCCTCAGGGAAGTGATCGGCGATGGAGACCTCTCGCGTCCGGGCCTAGTTCAGGCCATGATGCGGAGCGAGGGGGACTGGGATGCCGTCTCCTCCTTTTGCGAAGCAGTCATGCTGGCTAAGGAGGAGGCGGGACGCGTGAGGCAGCGAAGCGCTGCCTCCTCGCAACCCAGCCATCGCGAAGGACACACCGGGCGTCGGGGATCGCGGGACGATCTCCGGCCACCGTAAGCGCGGGCCTGCGGACGGCGAGCATGGGTGGCTCCCCGTCCGACCAGAAACAGACCCGAGCGTACGGCGCGTCGCGTTCCGCGCGCGCCTCAAAGAGCCATCAGACCACCACAGATGGGGCCCAATAGGGCCGATGCCGATTCGGAGTCGCGGAGAACCTAACGGGTAACCGGGGCTCCGGCTCGACGTGCAGGAGAAGGAACGGGGTGGTTTTTAGTCAGTAAGAGTCTGACACTCCCTTCCGCCTCACCCAGGCGGGAGCAGTCATTCGATGATTTTCCCCCCTTAAAAAAAAAAAAAAAAAAAAAAGCATTTAAGTTGAATAGAATTGAAGAATTAATCAACTAACTAAAACTCGCGGGTTACTCGCTACTAACTCTACTAGTTTCGAATCACAAAGGGGTTCTTCCTCATGAGTAGAGTACGCGGTCGCGGTGATGTCGCGCAGCCTACTGGCTAGCGTTGGCGCTCGCATCGGTTGTAGTTTTAGCCCGCGAGTTTTAATTAGTTTAGTTTGTCTCACGATAGTTATTATAAAAAATTAATCAATTGTTAGGTAAAGAAGAAACAAATTCGAATTTATTTACTTGCATTAAACATGTTTTTTTTATAGGTGTGACAATTACATCAGAACGTACATGCATGTTTTGCTAAAGACATAGTTAAACACTTTGTCTAATCGTGTAATCGATTCCAACATATCTTGCTCAGCTTTGGGATTTAAGGCAATTATGTCGGAGTACTGAAACGCTACTCAATTTTAAGTCGTGCTGAAGTATAGTTCTATCTTTACAAATTCTTTGTAAAATGACAGAGATGGCACAATATTTGAGCACGACTTAAAATTAAGTAACGTTTCAGTATTCCGGCATTAGACCTTAAGAAAACTTATCTAAAATAGAGCATGGTTTACTGCAATATAATAGAATCATTTTAGTTCCTAGTCCTAAACCATGAACAGAGTAATAAATAATAAAAATCTTACAAAATTATTTGTCACGAACATTAAAAACACAACAAAATCAACCCCAATCGATTTTGACATTCAACAAACTACATACTGTTTTTATTCCCACCCCACTCGACAGCCCTATTGAGCTTCAAAATGGAAAGAAAACAGTTGTATGCGCATGCGCCGCCGGTGTTAATAAGAACAAACTAACATTATAGAAAACACTATGCCATCTGGCGGAAACTGCCGTGAGGCGTGATATTAATTCATACGAAACTATTTTTACTGCATGGTCGTAACATAAATAATTGTGGTACTTTTAGTGGATAGTGTCGCCGGTGCCGTTTGATACTGTCCAGCAGATACATAGTATATCTAAAACTGAGTTGCATTTTTAGTATTGTACAATAAACTGTTTCAAGAGTTCCTTTTAGAGTTTAGATAAGTTCTGTTACACATGGCATGCTAAAATACTAATATAGCATGCTAAAAAGTGTTCTATTGAGCATTCAAAAATATTTAAAAATCGAACGCTTTTCGATTCGCAAACATGCATATGCATTTTGATAAACATTCCGCCACACATGCTATTAAGTGACAAGTGTTCAAAATTGAAGCGTAAGTACCTTCGTGTTAAATTAGCACATTACCTTTAGGTACTACCAAAAAGTTGAAGACTGAAAATTCCAACAATATTTTCCTGTCCTTTTTTACCTGCAACATTGCCTCTAACCACTCATCATCATGCGTCACTTAACAAACGAACAATGCTTGAACAATACTTCGTAGAACGTTATACATGCGTCAAAATATGGTCGCCAATGTATGCAGTTGACGTCAAAATAGGTCTCATTTGGGTCAATGCAGCCCACAACGCACTTTTTATAGCCAATTGATAGCCATCGTAAAGTTCGGCTAACGTTAATAGCCTATTGCGTAACGGCACAATGTATGGCGCTGTTTAATTCGTGGATAATGTCAAATTGTAAGGTTTAAATACCAGAAGGCTTGTAGGGTAAATAGGGTAAATATGACCCGAGAAAGATGATTAATGATGATATTAAATGTCAGGTGTAAGGTTGCAGTTTTGCGTAAATGTTTTCGTGCGAATTTTATTGGCAACTAGATAAATAATATATGGAAACAATTCCTTTTCACAATAGGCTCAAACAATAGCAAATCAATATAAGAACATGCTCAAAATTGTGACTAAATTAAGAAAGACACCAAAAACAAAAGAAAATACCTTTTTATTTCCCGCCATAAAATGACAGCTAATGTCATTTGAATTTGACAGATGTATATTGATGCGTTCGCTTTTTAATTACCCTGCAATCATGTTCGTGGTGTTGTGTATGACGATTAAAATATTTAAGTATGACTCACTAACGAAGTAGTGATCAATGCGAGAAGAATCTTGAGATCGTAAAATCTTTGATAAGGTATTGCCGCCATAAGTTGTTCACACCACAGACTGACAAATTAAGTTTTACGCTAGTTTTAGATAGAAATCAGCGTTAAGAGTGTTCTACTAATACATTTTATAAATGGAATCTATTGATAGGACCGATCATTATGAGATTGTTTCTAATAACGATAAAATTGCAATAAGTATTTATCTACTCAAAATAATAATTAAACTATATACGTACACAGTCTTGGGTTACAAAGACAATGTTTTTACATTAAAACAAGCTTATTTTAGTTCATAATTTAGCTATAGGTCATCGAACTCACACATACAAATATCACATTAACAGAAGTCAAATTAAACGCAAGCTTACCAAGACACATTAATCCTAAGTTCATCCCAATAACTTAAGAATTTTTATTGGCCGAACTGAATGGATCATTGACTCACGTAAGTGAATCAGCTGTTTGCTCAGACGGACAAAGAAATATTGTAAAGATCGTCCAACGGGCCGCTTAGTCACACACCGATTTCTGAATATTCATATACTCAAGTATTTGTTCAAGTGAACGTGTCGCCATTTTAATATACTTTAAGTAGACAGCCAGCATGTCAAAATACACTAAACTGAAAACACTTTCAACGGAATTTGCGCCTTATTAGCCAATGATATGGTTGGAATTCTATTGAACGAATTGGAGGGAAAGGGATAGTTTGATGTGCGGTGTCTGCACTTAATAAAAAAGGAAATGTCTATTTGTCTGTTGCACATGTTTTTTGAGACACCGAACCAGTTTGTTTCGTATTGTTTTTAGAAATGCACTTGTTGGGTATATTGACTTAACATTCTGAGGGCTTGTGTCATTTGTGTACGTTTTACACATGTTACTTAATAGTAAGTATCTTAATCGTTTCATTTTCTTAATCTCTTCTAGATTTGATTGACATTTAGTTCATTAAGTTAGTTCATTAAGTTTCTTGGTATCTTGTCTTTTGTAATGTATCAAAAGCACTTTTGAACGCCACGGTCGGTTATAGCCGATATACTAAATTTGATCTGTTCCGTCACAGTCAGCCACAACCGACAAGAAAACATAATTTTTAAGTACAT